GTAATTTTACCACACTTCCCTGTCCCATCCTCATGTCACACTCCTTTTATTAGCATTTTACTTTGTCCATCTATTTTCTGACTTCCTGTCCATGACTGAAAACTTTAGTCCACATAGTAATTTTATTTATTTACTTTATTTATTGCTCTTTTTCCCCTCACACTAGTAAGTAGTTTTCACTGTACTAAAGGACTATCTAACAACTAGCAAATAAATGACTAATGGCAGAGAACAGAAATAAAATAATGTCTAAAATACTAAGCAACTATTTTTAATGAAACTGTAGGATTTCATGCAACTTCCACATATGGGGTTATTGTAATAGGAAAATTGACTTCTAATGTATTTTTGTAGAGAAACAACTCTGAAAGCATTTATTTATTTAACCTTGAGTCTGAATTTATTATTTTCTGAATGGATTCTATGGTGATGTACAATAAAATAAGATATCTGAAATAATATAGCCCATCGGCAAATAATAATATAATAATCAACATGCCCATAGTACACTCATATAGACAGGAACAATAAACTCAGGTTAAAATGGTTGGTCAAATAAAATTATTGTGCTCTGTTACTGAAAAATTTGTAGTACTGGCATCAATGGAATTTCCTCAGGGTATTCTAGAGTCAGATAACACATAGAAAAGGTCTTCTCTTTTATATGAAATATTTTAAGGTATTTGGACCCTAATCTTTTTAAAAGAAACTCAAGTCAGAATTCCTGCTAATGAATTTGAATAGAGTCATTCAAGGGCAACTCTGTGTGATAATAACGTCACAAAAAGGTTGCTGGTGCATGAATAATCAAAGCCAAGCTATCCTTGTTTAGAAACAGCTGCAGTTGGTGAACCAGCTGAAGCTTGTACAAGGCATTTCATGTCAACAAAGCCATCTTGGTCTCCAATGATGATGCTTTATGAAGGTGCATGGCTATATGACCGCTCTTTGAGGGAATGACATCACAATTTTAAAAAGTTGAAAACTGATTTCCCGGAGCAAAGAACACAACACAACACAGTGTCTCTGTTTATACTCCTTTTATTATTGTGAAATATCACAGAGATGACCTTGAAAAAGGAATGTGATAATTCCAAAACATAATTTAAGGTTTGGAAAATCAGGGAACATAAGAAAGAAACAGTTAGGGTTTCAAGACTGATATCAGCTCTTTGAGGTAGGCCAAGTCAGGAAACAGACTCCACAAGAAATACTTGAATTCTACTTGATTGATATAGGCTATAGAATCCGAATCTTGAAAGCCTGATGGCATATTCCCCTTCCCTCTCATACCAAAGAGAGTCAAGGTGGAGCTAGTTTAAGTTTAAACTATATTAATATTCTCTTCTTTTCCTGGGCTTAAATTTTCTTTTGCTAACCATCATACTCCTCTTCTAAGGTCACGTCTGTGATTCTCTACAATTGCTACTCATCAGTTCATTAAGTCCTCCAGACTATGATTCAATTGCATTGATCCCAAGTACAACGCTGACTGATGTTTCTTTATTCCAGACGTCCATTTTATCATAAATGGCCTGCAAAAGTCAGGGTGACCACTAGAGGGCAGCAAAATGGTTTCTATATTGCTGCCATGTAGTACTATCTGGAGAACTTCAGCCCTGGAACATCAGGCTTTTCCAAACCTTATGTCAGTTGACCTCACATAAGTTCCATATAGAGATCTGCAACTTAAAGATAATAGGGGATAGGGCAGAACTTTGTAGGAGCTTTTAACTACCAAAGACTATTGTATATGGCTGGTGTGGTGTGGTTGGTATGACAAACCAACACCCTGACGAGGAGCTCCTCCCTTCACCCCAACGTACTTCAACGCATGTGCAAGACAGAAGCCCTTACACCCAGACTATACGGACTCCCCAAAATCCACAAAGACTCGATCCCACTCAGACCCATCGTAAGCGCCATTGGCTCCCCGACATATGAATTATCCAAACATCTGGCCACCCTTCTACAGACCCACGTTGGACAGACTCCAGCCCACATCAGAGACTCAGGACATTTCATCGACAAAATCAGCACCCTGAAACTCAACCCCACGGACAAACTGGTCAGCTTTGACATTGTCTCCCTGTTCACCAAGGTACCAGTGAGGGACACCCTGGCACTCATCAAAAAGATCTTCCCAGAAGACATCATAGCCTTATTTCAGCACTGCCTAACAACCAGTTACTTCCTATGGGATAATGAGTACTATGAACAGATGTACAGTGTCGCCATGGGAAGCCCCCTGAGCCCAGTCG